AGAACGCACTCTTGGATTTTGAAACTCTCATCAGATTTGTAGCACTGTCTTCCTGCTCTTTGGAAAAATATACTGTTAAGCAAAATTTATTTTATTAAGTAGAACTGAGAGCGCACAGAATTACAGCTTATGACTCTCACCAGAAATTATTTTCAAGCCCTGGACAATATACTCTGCAGTGATACCTCCTGTTAGAGCCAGGGGAAGGCTGCACGACTCAGTAATGCTTTACAGACTCAGATTTTGCCACGGGCAAATTTCTTCAAGGAAACAGAGTTGTTTGCATTGACAGCTTGGGCAGTCCTCCTGAATTTCAGTTTGCACATACTGTGCTTTAACTATTGTGTTACACTGCATGTTATAATTTATTTTTATATCTTTGCTTGTTATTAGTTACACAACTTTTTCCCTTGTTACACAAAATGTAACAGAGTAGGAACTGAAGCATCCCCACCTTCCCGTCCGCTCCGAGCTCCACACCTTCAAGACCAATTATCTCTTTGAGACACACTCCAGTAGAATGGCACTGGCGTCCACCATCCAGCTTCATATCCCTGGGGAACAGAAACCAGAGCAGAGACATCTCTTAATACACACGTCTTGTTTACCTTCTATGGCCCAATGCTGAAATAAGGTATAGCAACATTAATCCAAACATGCCAATGCAAAGCACAGACCAGACAACTCTTCCTACGGGCAGCATCGATGTGGTCTAAAATACATTATAGTGATTAGTTACCAAAACACTCCACTGTGTTCCAGGTTGCAGCTCATACCCCACCTGCGGTGCAAAGCAAGATTCCACATCACTGGGTGCTTCTGACAGAAGTCGGCACTGGAAAGGATCTGGGAGTCCTATACACCTCAGGTGAGATCCAAAAATCTAGCCTGAACACTTGACAGCCACATATCCAGCAGATAGATGCTCCCAGAGGACATACCCTCATCCCCTGTGACACCAGACATTGAGGTACTTGTCCGTGAAAGCCTCTGGGAGGGATTCCTGCTCCTCCAAGCGCAGGAGAGCATTCAAAGCCCAGTGACCCTCTTGCTGGAGGCCAACAGGAGAAACCCAGCTCTCCATCACCTTGGGATGGAAATGGGAATCTACTTTAGGAGGACTGAATTGTTTGGCATCTGACACTTGGAGGTAAATGAGATACCTGAGACAAGCACGCTGTGTCCCATGCTTTAGCCTCACGATCAAAATGTGAGTGAAGGTAAAAAAGACTATAAGCAAATTTGTGCTCTGCAAATGATGACTGTATGCAACTCCAGAGTATTTATCTTGCAGTATTTTTATAGCTGATTTCCCCTAAGGCCCAAGTATGTGCTTAAAATTCTGTGTGGGTGAGATGCTGACACCGAGGCAGGGAGAAGCCCTGCAGGCTCTCCACCTGACTGCGGGGTTGGGCTATCTCCTACTTTGTCTCTGCACACCCTGCTTCCTCGTCTTCCCTTTCCAACTTGTCACTCATTTTATTTCTCTGAAACCTGGCAATCAGTGAGTTCCCTGTAAATCATGCAGCTTACTGCTGGAAAAATCCAACACGTCTATCAACTGGAAAACACACTTCTGTGACAAAGGAAAAAGACCGCATCAAGTTTCTAATCCCGACAAAGCCCTCAGTTTCTTGATTGGGGTTCATTTAGCACAGCGTCACATTATCATTCTTGTTTCCTGACACCGTGTTACTGAGGGGCTGGACAAATAATTATGTAAAAATAACCCTCCGTCGGAGGCATGAGATTAGCCTCTCTGCTTTTGTGCAGAACATGCTTAAATGAATTATTTCTCATGGAGATAAATGCCAAATCATAACCATTTCAGCAGGTCTTACTTATCCAAGAAACAAACACACAAGTTGAGGAAGCCCTGAAATTCAAAAATTAAAACAAAAATCTGAATTATGTGAAATAGTATCAGGTCAGTTTATGTTCCTTCCACTCAAAATCTTGCAGACAGAGTAAGAAATAAGGCCATTATGACTTTGAAAACAAGCCATGGAGAAACTTCTCACACGCAAGTAACAGACAAGGACAGATAACTCTGTAAGTCATCAAATGAAAATCTAGCACCCTTTAAAGAACCAGCACAGCAGCTTTTAAAGAACAGGGCAGCTCTGAGGACTGTAAAGAAATCAGTGCTCTGGGAGCAGGGATCAGAGTCAGCTGGCAAGTGTGAGCACACTGAGGAATGATCCCTGGACATTAGCTGAAGATTGATGGACATTAATGCCTCCGCTTTCCCTGTCTTTTCTATGTTTCTAAAGAAGACTCTACCTTCAGGACCCTGTGAACGACACTGCAGTCACTATCCCTCATCCTGAGGGCTACTTAGGTTCTTCTGCGCCTCTACATATGCTCTATATTTCTCGGTAGTATATGATTGCTTGTGTTGTAAAAGAGAGTAATAAAATATTCTTGTTTGGAGAGAAGCCTGCCCATAAAACAGAGAATTAAACTCCCTCTCTTGAGGAAAATTAGAACTAATATTGCACAGTTTCTTATTAATGTATAAATGGAATGGCTCATCCTAGCTTATGCACATCCTCCTCACAGCGGTAAAACATCTCAGTGAACACTTAATATGAAATTCCTAGGTGACTTTACTTTATTTTGAGTTCCTTAATATTACAACCAACATCAAGCTAGTAAAGTTTTTGCAGGACAAACCTTCGTTTTTTCCCTCCCTCCTATTACAGACGTAAGTTCGCAAATGCCTCAGCCAGCCTGGGGGCTGCTGCCCTGCTGCCAGGGGAGCCCTGGCACAACTGCTATCTCCTCAAACCCCCAAAATCCCAAGAGCAACTAGGAAAGACCTGGGGGACGCCTCTGCTTTGCCCTCTGCAACTGAGTGAGTCGTGCCTGGAGAACAGTCAGGATGGTGGTTTGGGTACAGCGACCACACCAGTGCTGCCAGCCACCACCACCAAGTTCTTCAGGACACTTGCCCTTGGCATGGCACCACAGTCAATGGACCCTGCGGGGCAGGAGCAGATGGAGGACAGGTACTTTATATACATTAAAAAAAAAAATTAAAAATCAAGCGTTCACTGTGTTTAAGTTATTTAGATTACGGATGGCACCGAGGAACTGCACAAACCCCTATCTAGTAGTAAAAGGTGCTTACAAAATGCAGAGCAGGAAAGATGGTCCTTGCCAAAGAGACTTTTAAGTGAAGAAAACTTCCTCCTCTTCCTCATATTTGATTTTTCTCTGTCTTATTTTCTAAAAGTGCTTTTTAACCAAGCTCTCAAGGAATTCAAGCAGACACCAAAAAGAAAAATAAATCATGGGAACTTAATTTTACTACCTTCACTTTGAGCAGGGAAAGCTTGAGGAAATGACAAGATCAGGGATGACGTTTCCTTAGGAGGTAAAAACTAGATCCCAGTTTCTGACAAAGTTTAGGGAGTTACCCTGATTTACATCGGTGTCAAGCTCTAAATATTCTGTTCATGCATACCATTTCCAGAAAGCCAAGCAGTGTTATAAACTACACTCAAAACTAAGCACATTGTTTTAGTTATCCAGGACTGCAGAAAAAAACCCAAACGTTTCTCCATCTAATAGAGTTCACGGATTCTCCTGGAAAAGTATTGGGTGACTTGGGATCCCAAATTTGTTGTGGGATGGTGAAAAGTTTTACAGAGCAGGTAGGTAAGAATCAAAACCGTGTCTTTTATTACTCAGGCCACGATTAACAGAATATAAATTGGATGCTATTGCCTTTGGAAGCGTAACACTTCTTTAATGAATCAAGCGTTATGCTTTGACGTGATCCATAAAGCCCCATGCAAGACTCCTGCTGGGCACTTGCTCTTTAAATGACAGCAACAGTTGAACACTTTAACCTGTGAATAATTCAGGAGTCCATTAAATATTAAATAGATTTCTAGACACATGAAAAAGCCTTCTGCTTATTGCAAAAAGGAGTCTGATAATTGTTATTCAGAGACGTAAGCCTTCTGTGCCTATATTTTATGCTTAGTGATTCCTGACTATTAAGATCTATTCTAAAAGCAAAGGCAGTTCATGAGACATCAGTGAAAGATACTGTTCTTATCCTTCACTTCAAATAATTTCTACTTATCGTTTCTGTTTATAGAGACAAGGACAATGACAGCTTTGGAACAAGACACGCTGCCAGCCAGCCCAGAAGCACATCTCCCGCTGCCTGACACCACCTGCTTTAATTGATCGAGAGCTTTCAGATCCTAATTGCCATTAGCGTTGCTAGAACAACTACTCCAGCGGCAATTCACAGGGAAAGGAGGTGGAGAAACTCCTGGAAAGATGGCTCTAATGGGCCAGCATCCTTTTTCTCTCTCCAAACATATTCAAGTGTCAGCACAACAGCTTTTGTCTGGATGTTTTGCCCAACAGCGAGTAAAAGTTTGGAATTTAAACCAATTAGCTGTTGAGGATTCATTGCTTAATTTCAATCTAAGGGAACAGGGCAACTCACAAAAATGAGCAGCGGTGGCTCTATAAAATTCATATATGAGATGATTAGTTTTGAAATGTTCTGGTGTGGTAAAAAAAACCCAACAGATTTATGCGTCTTTCTGTAAAGCTAATATGCACTTGGTTTTGAACTTTGTTTGATTTGTGAGAAGCAAGGAGAGTGGGCAATGGTTAAAAAAGGCAGGGATATTTCAGTTTCCCCATTACAGGCTAAACCCAGATAGTTGTTCTTCCCCAAGCCTAAGGAATGATAAACGTTCAGGAAAAGCACTTGAGATTGATGACTTAATCAAAACTGCCTGGCATACAAAATCTGTTGGGGAAGAACAGCAAGGAACTGGGTAACAAATCTGAAGGACATAACAGAGTATCCTGCTTTGCTGCGTGCTTATTTCTACTATCCTTATGGGAATTTGAATGCTCTCATTTCTCCTATAAATATTCCCGGTTTCCACACTCACTGCAACGCTTGTTACCTGACCTGCCAAGTAACCAACGGCAGGGGTGCAGCATGTCAGACAGCCTCACCCAAATGCTTCTTTTTGCCTCATTCTGCATACCCAGTTTAAACACTGGACACAAACAAAGGTTCCAGAGTTTAGATAACGAAGGCCGTTGCGAATGCCTGGCTATGGACCCATTGATCGCTGTGGCTACATGGTATTTGCAGTGATGGTATTGAAAACCTCTGTCTCACAGCATCATTGAACTCATTAGTGTTCTGGCCAGCACTTAGTTAAATTCAAAGTTAAATTCAGCAGTGATTTATCTTTAGAAACTGGATGAAGCTGGTTTGCAGCATTTCTGAGAAGAACACAAATTCTTTTTGTCTAACAACTTGCTGCTTTACTTCAGAAGAACGGTCCATTTCCTGGGCTTCAATCCACCGGATTACTCATATTGTATTACTTCCCTTAACTGCAGGCAAGTTCAGTCAGATAAATACCTACATTCCTGTCAAGACAGCAATATTCAGCAGCAGTGCCTACTCCAGGTAAGTTTCTAACCGCTTAATGAATTCACTGCCATGAAGAACAAAAGATGAGGTGAAATGGCTGGTTTTATAAGGACACACACTGCCTGA